AGTCACAGCATTTAATTTCCCGTAGTCGACGCAAAACCTTAGCGTGTTATCCTTCTTCTTAACAAGTACCACAGCAGATGTCCACGAACTGCTAGAAGGTTGAATAACATCATCTTCAAGCATCTCCTGTACTTGATTCTTCATGACTTCCCTTTCTTTTGGTGAAACGCGGTACGGGTGCTGGCGTACCGGCCTGGTTGTCTCCTCTGTTATGATCCTGTGTTTTGCAATGGTTGTGCGTCGTACCTTTAAACTATTGCAGAAACAGATGCCAAATTTCCGTACAAGGTCGTATAGCTGTTGACGTTGGATCACTGAAAGATTAGGATTATGGATATTACGTCGCAGACATCAGATGTTGGTTTCATATCCGTTGACGTTGTTTAAAGGTTGCATATTTCTGTGGCTTCAAAAATCTCATTAAGAAAGGCTATGGCTGTCCCCTTTGCGATGTGCTGGAATTCGTTCCCAAAACTTGTCAGGAGGACGTCTGTGTTCCTGTTTTGTAGCTGGATAAGCCCTCGTGCCACGCAAACACCTCTTTTCAGGAAAACATCCATGTTGCTGTTTGCCACACCTTCGTTGTCATGAAACGTATCATTTCTGACTAGAACCATTACACTGCTCTGCGGCGGTACAGTCTCATCATCTTCGACGATGCGCAGTTGAGTGGTGTATTGCTCGTCTGCTCGAGCTACCTTTATAGCTTGTTCCATCGAAAATGATAAGCTGGACCTCTGCAAATTAATAATGGCACCATTTACTTGCAGAAAATCCGTTCCGAGTGTAACTTCTCTCGACAATACGGGCAGGACAACAAAGTCACCAACGTAAGTGAAACCTCGTAACTCAACTCTTGCGGCGCATCTACCGAGAGGCGTAATAAGGTGACCGCCTGCCGTACGTACTTGAGGTCCACTCCATTCGGTCAGAACTCTCCTGAGGCACTTCGCTAAATTGTAGCTTATCACAGAGTAATCCGCACCGGTATCGATTAAAGCCATGAGCTCCATCCCGTCAATTACCAATGGCAAGTCTGAAGTTAACTTCTCAATTCTGAACTTCTTTACCTGGAGACAGTCGTCGTCGTCGTCACGCTGGTGTCGCAGTGGAGGATCTTCGTATTTTGTATCACCAGCGGCCTCGCCTCCACAGGTCGCCCACTTCAGTTTCCCGGGTTTGGACTAGGCGAACGATGCCTAGGTGCGTTTGGAAAGGAACGTGGGCTTGGCGAGCTCTGACGTAGAGGGGATGATGACCGCGGTTGATGACGACGATGCAGGTCGAAGCTCTGACATGAGCACATGTATTCCTTGATGTCGGACGGCCTTTCGCCTTTTCGCGGACACGGTGCGTTGACCGTGAATCCTCGAAGACCTGCTTGACGATATTGACAAAACCGGTAAAGATGACCAGCCTCTCCACAGTGAAAGCACAGGGGACTACGTTCTGCCTCTCGCTGTACATCGCTTTTCCGAGGTCTCTTCTCTGTCGGAAGAGGTGCGCTGCGAGTTGCCTCTACAATATGGCGCGGGCTTCGTGTTGTCGGTGCGTAAGTACCAGGTGTCTCGATAGGCGCACAGTGGACAGCAGGCCGCCTGAGCACCTCAGAATAAGTTACCGCGCCTCGTGCCGGTGGTGCATCCGTTTGCGACTCCCGTATGGCCTGTCGAATTTCTTCTCAGACAACATCCGCAAAAGACAGCTCCGGTGATGCGGGTGGCTGCAGCTTGCGTAGTTCCTCCCTGACAACTGACCGGACGAGCTCCCACAGAGTGTCAAGATTATCGAAAACGTTTGCCGAGAAGACCCCTGCTGATGTACAGGCTACGTTACGATTGTATTGCCGGGCTCTCTGCTGCAGCGTCGTTTCTATTGTTGTTGCTTTCGACCGAGACTCAGCAACAGTGCGCGGCGGATTGCGAACGAGTGCCGCGAACAGCTCTTGTTTTACCCCATGCATGAGATGACGCACCTTCTTGTCTTCAGTCATGTTGGGATGAGCTCACTAGAACAGGCGGGACATGTCTTCTATGTACCTAGCGACAGTCTCATTTGTGCGTTTATTCCATGCACAAAGAGCTGCTTCTGCCTTTTCCCGGCGATCATTGTTGCCAAACGTACACAGTACCTGCCATCGGAACTCTTCGCAGGACGTCAAAGATGCGTCGTGGTTTTCGTACCACAAGCGTGCTGCGTCTTCCAAAGAGACGTATACGTTGAGCAACCTGCCTGCTTCTTTCCATTGGTTGATGTTCGCCACCCTCTCGAAATGATCCAGCCGGTCTTCGGCGTCCTCGAACGGGTCACCATGGAACACCCTTGGTATGACGGGCTGGCTGACAATGAGCTGTGATAGTGCAACTTGGCTAGTCGTGGTGGTGGCGTTTCTTGTTTCCGTCGCTGATGCCCTTGGCACAGAGGGAAGTGGTCCAAATTCTGATGAATCCCCTCGAATACGGCGACTGATCCGTTGGTGCACCGGCGTAAGCTCCTCGGCTTGTAGATGGTCAGGGCTTGGACTTCGCTCTCTTGTCGGGGTTGGAATCATCTACCCAGTACCTCCACCAGAAAATGTAACGAATGTAGCAGCCTCACAACAACGATGTTCTATTTACACGGTTTATTAAGGGCGAACTTGTTCCCAAAGTGAACGACGCACAGCAATAAAAAAAATCCAAAGGCGGTAGTCCTCGTGAGTCTCTGCCTTGAAAACCATCGTTCTCTTCTTCACGCGCGTTGGCTGTTCGGCGGAGTACCGGGTGCATGCAGGGCCGGCTCGTGCATTGCGGCTGGCTTCGTGGCTCGTAGTCATGCCGTTAGCGTTTCTCTGGTTCCCAACGTCCACGTTGCGCACAGCAATAATAATTTTCTGTGGCAATATGATGAGTGGCTTTTTAGAGTAGGAACGTGTACAGCACAATAATAATAGGAACTAATAGACAGTGATTCCGAGCAAAGTATGGAGGATGTTATTAGAAATAATGCGTAATATAAACGTGAAAAAAGAGAAGCGGTCAAAAGAGTAACTTTCCCCTGGCAAAGCCTGAACCTGCAACCTTCGAATAACGATGCTCTACTCACTGAAATAGAGTTGCGGTAACCCTTTGGCCACTTTATATAATAAAGGCGGACGTGTCTAGGCCTAACTACAAGATTGATGTAAACAAATCGGAAACATAGATGTTTTCGCGCTTGGTGCGTGGTTTATAATTATTTACTTTTATTATTACTAAAATAGACTTCTAGCAATGCTTCGCACGGTGGCATAAGCAAACATTCTCATTTTCTTTTCGTTTTCGCTGCTTAACCTCTAAAGAATATAATAGGTGACGCCACCATCGTAGCTGGGGCACGTGAATCACGTAAACGCTTCCCAATAAACTATAAGACGCTGCCCACAATGAACGTTTGCTGCACGGTAACGCCATTGCCTTAACCTTCGCCATCACGCTAACGCTAACACTAAACTATAACTGCCTATTACTGCACTTTACCAAGATAGATGACTGTAGTAGACACTGAAGCTGCATTGTTAAATGGTTCAAAGTATGTGACCACGGCAGACGGAATAGCGTGCGTGGCATCTGTTGCCCCGGACCCAGAGGTCTCGGGTCGGACTCCCTAAGACGTAAATTCGTTATTTGTCTCCTAATCGCGCGTATATTTGTGACGTCACTTCCGCGGCGCATATGTGACGTGAAAGTCTGGATGGGCTCCGACATAAAAGACTTTCGTGTTAAAAACAACAGCAGCGTACGAGGGATAATTTATGGAGATCCCGGTTGTTTTTTGCCAGCGAAACGTTGACTGCAGACTCAGCCCCACTTTTCAAGCCGCCACTCGATCCCTCCGGCACGATAAAAATGTCAGTTGTCTTGCATATAGAGCAAATTTACAGCCCCCAAGCTACATCAAGTACACTGTGAGTTTTTATGAAAGAGAACGTAGTAGCACATGGCCCACGCGCGTCGGTGGCTGATGGCAGCGTGTTCAAGCAGGAGCGAGAGCAACCACCGCCTTTTTTCTCGTCAGCTTGAGGTGAGAAAATCAATAATTCATTGTTAATATGAAATCAGTGGCACGACTGTAATCGCCTTCCCCTTCAAGGCGATAACTAAGCTTATGCGTAGTCGCCTTCAAGGAGGAGGGGGCTGCAATCTTGCCACTGATTACATATCAGCAATGAATGGTTCTTTTGCTCGCCTCAAGATGACGCGAAAAGAGTCAATGGCTGCTCTCACTCCCACTTGAACGCGCTGCCAGCAGACGCCGAAGCGCACAGACCACGCGATCCCGTGTTGCCTTCCAGAAAATTGACACTGAACTTTATAAACGTGCGCGGGGGATCAATCGCTTCTCGCGGCACACACAAATCTAGTGTTCCCGCCAGTTTTTCATGCCCAGTCTCGGTGAAAAACTTAAAAGCGTCGTTCCCGGCGCGCAGTTATTGTACTTAACGGCCCAGTTTTCGGCACATAATTTCTTAAGCGATATTGCGAAGTACGTCTAACAACCTGACACAGCTTCGCTTACGAGTCGGTTGCTGTACGGCGCATTTCAATTATTTTGTTCATTTCCACACAACGGTGACACAGGCTCAGTGCACGCTTATCATATATCTCATGATCTGTGCCATCTTTTAGTCTGCATTATAAATTTTGTGTTGGAGCATGAACGATCAAAACTTAATTTTTCACACAATGCTAGCGAAACCGGGAAACGTGTAATACTAGTCATAATAAACAGATTGTGCGTCAGCACAAAATCTGAAATACCCATACTAATTGTGAATGTGCGTACTTTTTAAATGCACGACATTTCATTTATTTTTACTGACTGTTGCACAGAGAGTGATGCTATGAAAAAATCCGTCTAAACAGAGGGTAGATAAGTGGCTGTGTAATTTATCTGCCACATGTATTTGCTTTCAACTTCTCCTCCTTTTCTAGGCCATATATTATAACGCTATAATAAATATGAGTTTCTGCTCTTTGTAGGGTCGATGGTTCGGTTGGATGGATCAAAAGGGACACTGGAAGAAGTCGGCATGGAATGATTCATACACCTTCAAACACTCATGTTGTCAAGAGGGCAGGTATCCTGTGACTTCTGAGGGAAATATTCTTCTATGTAGCACACACAAATGCAGATTATAATAAACATCGACACTCTTCTGCTACCCTTGCGTTTTTGTTTCCTTCTTTATTTAAGAATGCCCCATTGTGCTTTACTAAATGAGGGTTTAAACACCTTTGCGCTTTACTGAATGAAGGTTAGACATACGAACAATCATTTCTTCTTTTCGACAATCTACCCACTCTTGAGGAAGCTTGTTTTATTCCTGCACACACTTCAAAAAAAGATGGGTGACGCCCCTCCTATTTAGGAATTAGTATAACAAGAAAGTGAAACATATTTTTACTGAGGTAGTTGAGCGTTTATTTTGCACTGTTTCGCCACATGGCCGAAGAATTTTCATGCTCTCCTAAATCACGAGTCTCATCCTATAAGCCCACGTGCAGGAGAGACCAGGCATGTCCCCTGGAGACGCGCGCTCAAGAAAACGCGAGGAACAATCAAAGCTTCTTGATGTCAGGAAAGTACCACTATTCATTGTATCTATTTCCGCACGCTCAGCTTCCTCTCTCCCTTCTCACCCCCCTTCCCGTACTCCGGGTCTTGGACACTTTTTTTGCGCGATTATTGGTCTCCTTTGCGGTTGCCCTTGGAGACGCGTAGATCTAGCGCTTTGCCTCTCTTTCTCTTTTCCGCTAGAGCCATTTTTCGCCAATGCTCCGCGTAATAGACTTAGCACGCGCTTTGTTTTTTGTGCTTTGTGCGGGTGCCGTGGCGTGCTGTAGTGTCTATGACTGCAACAACCTCGGTGAAAATAGTTCCGCACTTTTTATGATACCCCAAGGTAAATGCAATGGCTTGCACAAGCAGCAGTGGCTGCACAACATTGGCCGAGAAAACTTCGTTCTGGCAAAGAACAGTGTACTTTGCGAGGCAAGGTGCCTTACTTGTGCTCCTATCAAAACATTGCCAATTGCTGCATTTGAATTATTCTTTCGGCCTGCTCGCCAACATATCTGTTTTTTTGGGGACAAAGCTCGTTACGCCATGGGTCTTATGTTCCGTGTTGTCGTAGTCATCTTAGTGGCCAGTTGCATTGCACCAGATATCAGTAAAAACGTGTCACAGCATATCCACGGAGGGAATCAAGATGAGTAGGGCAAAGCGTCCGTAAGTCCGTACATGCTTTCGTGCATCCATCGTTTCGTGTGTGCATCTAGATATCTGTCTGTCAATACGTCCGTTCGTCCACAAACTTCGCCCCAATTGTCATCACTCACCACGTAAATATGCTGTGATTTTTTCTCAGCTATTTGTGCATTGCTTCAAACTGTAGCATCTATCAATACGCCGAATTCATTTGTTATAAAGAAGTAGAAAGTGAAATCGTTCATTTTTTATACAAAGCTACGTCAGGAAAAGTTGCAGTAAATGTACCTTGTTGCGTTCAGACAGCCACTGCTAGGAATACCCGCTGTAATTATGATCGATCCTTGACACGTATATTTGCACGAGGTAACGCGTACAAATACACTTATTTTCCCAGAACAGTGTATGACTGCATTTCACTGCCTCTTGAGATTTCCTCGGCTTACAACTTTGCTATATCGCTGGAACGTTGTTTACTGCGTGATTAGAGTGTTCTTTTGTGTTATAAATTTTATTTCTGTTTCACAAACACGTTACCTCTGTTAGCGTATGGATACATGTTTTTTCAAGGGCATAAGCTCCTTATGGCATCACCGGTTTGTTCCATTATTGTTTGTAACCAAAAGTGGCACATGCCCGTCTGTAACCACCAGTGGGCGAGGCTCTTTAAGCCGTAAATCGTGCGTCCTCGATGTATGTAGTCGGTAGCCACTTCTCTTTTGGTTCTTGAAATGTCGCTAGATGAAGGTAATTATATATATTCCCTATATATGGACTGTCACGGTGGGTGGACGTGTTTTTTGAGCGCTCCCAATTGACTGCGCAGATAAGTGGTTTTGCGTGTTTTGAGCTTGTCTTCATAATTATTAAGGCAGCAGTTAAAATATTTGTAGCACTTAATACATTGTACGGCTTTTTCGTGGGTCAGTCACCAGGTATTTATGAGTTTTTGCGCATGTGTGTTCATTTTTATTTTTTGTTGGTGTTTTTTTTTGCCATCCCGTAGGGGAGGTGCACGTACATTGAAGACGCAAGTTTTTGTAGTAGAGCTTACACTTTCTCTTTTTTGTAGGGCAGGGCTTGAGTTTTGCAATTATCGAATGAGACAAGTTATAGAGACAATTTGTATCAGAAAGACATGGTTATAAAGACTGTAAAGAGTTCAGGATGCGGGGTGGGTTTGAAAATGAACCCAAGTGTAGAAGTGGAGGGGGATGAGGCTGACGCGAAATATAGGCAATGTGATGTCGAGGAAAAATTGGAGAGAACTATGGTTGCTCAGAGTGAACTGCTGATGAAAATCACCAAGCTGGAGACTGTGTTGGCGTCAGAGCAAGAGAAAACGAGGGCAATGGGAGAAAGGCTGAAGTCCGCCGAGGAAGCACTAGCGAAGCTGAACAAACGTGTGGCCTACGGAGAGAACAGTAAGGAGCCGGCAACCAGAATGGCAGAGAAGAAATAGCAAGCAAGTTTGGAAAAAACAGGTTAAGCCGATTCAATTGTCGCAAGAACCAGTTTCAGCGAAATAGTGGTGGGGCTGGGAGGGGACAAAGCAGCCAGAGTCACAGGTGCAACCCCCAGGTGCAGGACGCTTCCGCCGAAAAGTCACAGCATGTGATAATTGCCGGGGACTCGAATATAAATCGATGCACAGAAGCAATCAAAGGGAGGGTAAGAGGTGACAAGAGGGTTGTAGTAGGGGCACTCCCAGGACGCAAGCTGAAAGCAGTCATGAGGCAAGCGAGTGCAAAACTCAAAACTAAAGCTGATAGACGAAACCTCGTGATAAATTCAGGCAGTTTAATCGATGTTTTAACTGGAGATACACCAAGACTAGCAAACACACTGGCGAAAGGAGTCGATAATATGCGTGCGACTTCTCCTCAGGTACAGGTAGTGATATGCACGATACCGGAGGTACCACTCCGTGACAACAACCTGCAAAGAGCGGTTGTCAACGCGAACCAAGAAATATGACGGATGAGTCGAGAGAAAGGCTTTGAGGTGGTGGAAATAAACAGAGAGGTGCATAGGTGGGGTGGTTTACAACGAGCAAGAATTCACTTCGGTGGGCGGCCAGGTCATGGGGTGGGTTGGCGACTTGCTGGACGCGCCATAGCTTTTTGGGGGGGCACTCGGGCCTGTCGGGGTGTAGGATAGCCAGTGATGAGGAAAACAACCAGGCAGACTTTTTAACAGGTGGTAAGGACAGATACGATTCCAAAGTGGCACCAGTATTTAAGATATGTAGAGTCCGAGGCAGAAATAGACGTAGCCACGAGCGCCGAGGCAATTCAGACATAGGGTATATCAAAATGCAGGGTGGCAGGAACAGACTGAAGTGGGAAGAGATAGAAGAACAGCTGAAGGAGGAGAAGCCGATGTTATATGGTTGTGTAGAAACACATCTTAGGGACATGAAACAACCTCCTAACAATCTGGACTATGCGTGGGAATATTGTAATGGAACAGAAGACAGCAGAAAAGGGCGTAGTATTGGGGCATTCATTCATAAAAGTACAGACTGGCAAAGGGTCAAGTACGATTGCAAGGAAAATTTATGGCTAAAAGGAAAAGTGGCAAAGTAAACGACACTTCTTGGTGTCGTGTACCTGTGGGCGGGAGCAAAGGCCAGAGAGGAAAACCAGGCAATAGTAGAGTGTATACCAAAGTTCATTGATGAGTTAGGAGGAGAGTGCGAGATAATTTTACTAGGAGATATGAATGCGCAAATATAAGGTATAGATGAGCATACCGACCCAACAGGCAAAATGATCTTAGATATGTGTGAAAGACATGATTTGGATAATTTGCAACAGTACCGAGAAGTGTGAAGGGCAAATAACATGGGAGGTAGGAAGGCTCCAGTCGATGATAGATTACGCTGTGATGTCACATAGGATGTCATATAAGCTCAAGGGAATGCACACAGATGAAGGTGGCTCCAGAAGTCTGGGTAGTGATCACAAACGTACCAGGCTAAGTTTTGGAAGAGCAGTGAAAGTGGGAAAGAGGCAAGATGAGCAAATACAGGAAAATTTTTATCCAGAAAGGCAAATAGAAATAGCTGCTAAAATTGAGAAAGGAATCACTGAGGATAATAAAACAGTGTTGACATATAGTAATGTAATTAGACTGTTCGAACTAGAGCTTGATAAGGCACGTGACAAGTCACCCCAGAAAAGAAGACACAAACCCAAAAGTTGGTGGGATGGGGAAGTTAAGTGATGAATAGCAAAACGTCAGGAAGCCTCTAGGGAAAACAGACACGCTAAGCAGGGGGGAACTGACAGATAATGAAAGAAAATGGGAAATCTTTCCTAGCTGTAGAAGTGATGCATCCCTTCTGATCAATGAAAACACTAGAAAAAAGGGAGCTCAGTGGCTGGCAGAAATACATAAATAAGACAGAAAGCCAACTGCGAAATCTCGGAACCTTTTAAACTCTCTAAGAAATTAGACGAACCTAAATCAGAGGTTTATAACTACAGCTCAAGGTGCTACGCTAGAAGGGGACGAAGGTATTGAATATATAAGAACAAGGGTGACAGAAAAACTTCAACAAAGAAGTGCTTTTTGCACCACAATAGACAAGGATGAATAAGGTGGCGCAATGGCTCCATTTTCACAACCAGAGTGGCAAAGGGCTGAGAAGAGATTTCCTAGTAGTACATCAACAAGCCCAGAGGGAATTCCAATTATGCTGATAAAGACATTAGGTCCAAAGTCAAGGCAGGCTTTGAGAGAGCCAGTGAAGAAAATAATAATCGATGGTGAAGTCATTATGGATGGAAACTTAGCAGGATGAGCATGATCTATAAAGGAAAGGGGGACAAAGCTGACATAAACAACTACCGTCCAACAACAATGACACCAGTGGTCTACAGGCTGGCGATGCCGATTATAAAGCAAAGACTGCAGGCACGAATAAAGGATGAGGGTGTGCTGATCAAC